GCGCAATGTTAAAAAATAGAGATTTTTTAAAATTCGATTTTAAGAATTGCAACATATTAAATTAAACAATTCATAAATATATTTCATTTATGCAATAGATGTCCAAAATGATTCTAATAGAATATGGCACAGTTATTAATGAAAAATTCAATATCTCATTTTCGATCGTGCAATATTTTTGTCACCCCCGGTAAGTATAATTTTCTTCAACTCATGGGTTATAGTCAAGAGGTTTATAAAAAATAATTATTAGGTCAGCCTAGCATTCTGACATTTTATCATACTAGCGCCTGACAAATGATCTACAAAGGACTAGACTAACTGCAAATATCAAAAGCGAAATTATGGACACAAGTTAAATTTACTAAATAAATTCCAAAATCGGTTTTCGTTTTTTAAGGAATTTAGATTATGTTTATCCACGAAGTTACTACTCCACGTGATTTGTAATTTTAGCTCGTAATTTTAGCGAGAATAAGTTTATCCGATTTTTAGAAATTTTTGTTTACAATTAAACAAATTTTCATCATCCGAATTTCAATGTTCGCATATAGGAGTAAATCATACGACGACCCGTGATTTTAATAGCTTACCTCCCATATATTCAACATTTAAAAAATTCTGGCAAATTCTCCAGAAATTTTATTGAACTTTAACTTTATTAAATGACAAAAATTCCCTTGAAAAACATGATGTAAGTAGAAAATAATTTTTGACCGAATTTAACTCTGGCCGAGATTTTAATTTCGGCCAGAATTTAGATTGGCTAAATTTATTGTGCCGGTCTGATTAATATTTTACCGGTTTATTAACCGGTTTAGGTCAGAAATTTTGCTGCACTTACATAAAATATTATTTTAGTTTTAAATATTAATTACAAAATTTCTTGCGAATTAGCCAGAAACACACCATTTAAGAGGAAGAATTCATTCATTTATTTTTTTTTTTTTTTTGAGCGAATAAGAAACTTTTCCACTCAAGAATAAAGTCGCTGTAAAAGGAAAAGATAAAATATTTTTTAATATTAACTATACTATCGATCGATCGAAAATTGACAGTTATGCATTGCATGCATTGTGATTTATTTATTCCAAATTAAGTATAATATTTTTATTATTTAATAAAAAAAAGAATGATATGTAAAATCTTTAATATGACGGATAATTCTTTAATAGACGCATGACCCGTGAATTAAAAACTTCATATTTAAGGAATTTGTTCCTTAAAGAATTTTTGTTAATCCTTGGCAAATTTACTACTTGCGTCCATTTTATGTATTACTGATTTGATGATTAATCAACTTAAGCTAACTTGGCAATTCAATAGTCGATTATCACGAGGATATTAAAAGTTATGGTTAATTAATCTTAAACAAAAAATTAAAATTCACCATAATCGACAGTTTTATTTAATCATTATCATATGCAACAAATTAATAAAGAATGAATTGCATCAGGTGATTCACAAATACCGATAAAACATGAATCGAGGCGCAGGAATAAATAATTTATTTTTCACCGCTAGATTATCCGAAACATGTTAAATTTATTAAATTTATTGAATTACAAAATTTCTAAGCAAATAATTTAAGGGATAAAAATATGAACTCTAAGGATGACGTGAGATAATTCATCGGCATAATAATTAACCTAAGAACGAACCATATAAGGAAGCTTTTAACAGTTTCTCAACGAAATCAATTCACAACTTTAGAAAATATTAAATAACATAAACGGAAATTATATGTCGTATTATAAACATTAGGATATCTCTATATGAATTTCTCGCATCATATTCCCTCAAAGATTTATGTTTAAGCCTTCATTATTACATCACTATCTTCGTTTAATTTTATTCCTCCTTCACTTACAATCTAATTTATTCCCATTATCACTTCCGAATGACATATTGTCTTTACATTAAAACAATAGTTTACAAATACTTTCTTTTTTATTTAATTTATATTTTGGAATTATTCTCCAAAAAAAATTTAAAGAATTTAAATCTATTTGATAATTAATAATGCATTATTATAAATCAAAGAAAGTTTGCTAGTTTTCAAAAGAATAAAATAAGTATAAAAAAATAAAGCGTCATTGGTGAAATGTTGCACTTCAACTTTTAGAAAGTCTTTCATGGGAATAATTATACGTAAGTGAAAGAATGTTGTTGTATTTTCATACAATTATATATTTCGAAGCCACCATCATTGAGATAATTTGTATTGCGGTTTGATGTGTTATTTTGAATGTTTAAAGAAAGTCGACAAGCTGACATTGACGTTATCTTTGGAATATTTGTGTTTGTTACACATCTGGTGAATTCACATTTCAAATGTCCCAATAAAAAAAAAATTAGAGGACTCAAGGTTTATAAGATAATTATATGTAAATATTGAGTGTTATGGAATTGGAAATTGGATAATGAAATAGGATTCTCGATGAGAAAGGGAAACTGAACGATTCATTGAAAAAATTTAATTAGAAAAGAAAATGTGTTGGAATAAATATCATGGAATCGTGAGAAATTGACAGATTTTAAATTGAATGGAAAGCCTAAATTGTATATTTTTGAAGATAATATAAAAGGAGTAAAATATTTTTTTAGGGAGTTGTAATGAAAAAATTCATCAAGGAAAAGTAGATCCGTGATAAAACATATCCTCAAATTCACTATTCGTATCCTGCCGTCCGGTTATTTGAGAAATCCTAAAAAGTGTATCCATACGAACCGTATAGTTTGGATTCATGCTATTTACACGATTTGCTAAAGTTGTGAATTGATTTCGCTGAGAAATTAATAAAAGTCCCCAAAAATGGTTCGTCGCTAGATTAATTATATGTCGTTGGATAATAATCTGTAATCTATTGGCTTCATGTATTACGTTTCTTTTCATTAATCTTTTACCCGACATCCTTCGGATTATTCTTCCGCTTCTCGCTCGAGCAATAAGGTTCATCCCATCATTTATATCGGGGACTTTAATTCTATCAGGATTTACTTGACTTAAAAAATTGTTGAGGGAAATCATATTTAGAGAAGGAAAGAGTTGAAAAAAAAGTTCAAGGATGCCATTTATTTTATATTAATTATTGTGCAACATTGGGGCTGAATTATGTTTACGTTAACATGTGTTGTTTGATCATATCAGCTCATTTCTCAAAACTCATGGTGTCAGCACTTTGGCGTTTTCTAAATCTGAAACATTTCAAAAGTACTTCTTATGATTTCAAACCAAATTGTATGATTATATGTATTGATATGGTTCGCCTGAAAAAAAAAAAAAAAATAATTCAAAACAAAAATGTGAATCGCTTTCATTTGTATTAAAAAGAAGTAATGATAAGCTTTAATTACATAAGCATGGATATATCCGGATCTTGTAACGTCCTAGAGCAGATATCGCCAAAGATTTGATTATCTTGTACTTAGTTTTCAAAGTTTGTTTTAGGAATCCCTTGAAAGATATCGAATATAGCAGCTCCTTTTATGAATTTGTGTCAATATCAATAAGGAAGGTGAAAAATGAAAATTTCAGTAAATATGCTCGAGTCTATTTATATTATAAAACCAAAGTCGTCTGTCTCACTTAACCACGTGTAATGATCAGTGTTACACCCGCAGACTTACCTTAATTGGTATAACCTCATTAATATCTTAAGATTTACCTTCCTGTTTCTTCGCTTCGTGCGTGTGAACTTGATAATCGAGATTTAATTATTAGTAATTTAGATTGTAAAATGAGATGAGATTGTGTGAAATTTTCAAAAATTCATTCCGGCGTAAACGCCTAATTACTTTTTATTATCGACGCACAAGTATTTTCTTTGTATCGTATTGGCATAATCATAACCATAATATCTGAAAAAATAAAAATAAAAAATACCTCCTTAACCTTAAAATGCAGGGGGAATTATTGTTAAGGTCGCGCAAGTTATTTAAGATAGATTATCTATTTAACGGAGGAGAGACCTTGTTGTCTTTTTACGGCGCGGATCAACTTTCAAAGGAATAAACCCTATAATAAGTTAAATAAGTATTTGATTGATCGTCGCTTTGTTAATTTTCTAAAAATGACATTTACCGTTGGTCTGGCTAAATTTTCGTCCGGTGCTGGTCACTCATCTAATGAGAACGCAATTAATCTATCATCCTTTCATAATTTTCAAAATTTTTAATTGATTTCTATATTAGAAAAGGAAAAGATAATAAAGATAAAATTTTAATCTATAACTCTGGCCGGAATTATGAAGTTTTCTTTTTAAAAATTAACGTTTTTTAAATAAAATAATTTACATTTCATAATCAATCAATATTTATTTTCACCTACGAAAACAAAACATTATGTTGGCGCAGCAGTTTCTCCACACGTCGCGACTTGGCATAATTACGCAATAGGAGCAATGCCATCGTTAATATCTTTCTTCGCATGTTTGCTTAGAAATAGCAATGCAATTAACCACTTTTTAGGTTTAAGAAGAATTAAAGATGCCTGAACATTTAATTGGAGTAGTGCATAATTAAAATATAACTGAAAACTAAATTTCTTGAACTTTTACATACTTTGAAGGAGTTTTCTGTTGAAAAGGTTACGAACAATGAAACATCTTGCTCTTAAATACTATAATTTGGCATAATAAGATGATGATAAGAAGTACAATGAAAAATAACCGAGGATGAAAATGTTTTTATTTTGAGTAGAATTCAAATGAATTATGTTTATTATATTCTTCATGCGTTTTATTTTGTGTTTGATAAAGATAATCAAAAAAAAACCGCTTAAATTTTTTTTTTTATGACCAATCATTGTATTTAAACAACCTAATAATTTTTTCCGTTCCCGTACTGTCGATCATTAAAATTCGGTAGTAATAGATTCGTAATGGGAAATTTTTTTTTTTAAAAAAGCAAGAGAGATATAATACAGTGATCACAGCAATCATAGGGTAATACAATACTTTTTTTTCTTTGTTTTGATTGACCGTAACATGTAACGACCGTTGAAAGGAATCCTTACACAAATTGTTATACAATTTCCGTTTTGATTAATTGTCAAATTACCATATTGGGTTGTGTCCACACCTCCCATATTCGAACAACGAACCAAGCAATGTAAAATTTATTTCATTCTTTACTTTCCTTTTTTTGATAAACAAAAGACCGCAAAGTGACTAGTTGTTTATCCTTTATTTTGCTTTATGTGATACCCAATCTTCATAATAAAAAAATATATTTGAAAACTTACTGCGTCAAATGAATGAGAACCTAGTTAACCTAATTTGGTAATCGAATGAATGGTCGATTATCAAAATAAAGTTCACCTTTGTTAGAAATTCCTTTTTCATATAAAAAGCCTATTATCCAAATGGAGATAACTCCGCAAGCACTTCATCATCAATACCTTTTAATGGAAATTATTTTTTCATTATTTAAACTTGTAAACATTATATTAATTTAAAATCTTGAAAGTAAATAGTCATGTGCTTATCTTTCTACGGTCTCTCATTCAATATCGTACCACATTCTTTACAAAACTTCTTTCAAAGCTTTGGAAAATTACACAAGTTGTACTTATCGGCAATCGGTCGGCTTCGGTAGTACAAGGAAAGAAAACATTTAAGCGCCACTAAAAAAACACCAGTTCCAAAATAATTTTTATTTGTTGTGATAAAAAAATATTGATGCTTATTAAACCTTCCATATCATCAAACTTTGTAAGAAAATATTCTATTAAGTTGAAAAAATGAGTTCGTCATGTTAATTATATTCCAAGTTTTGAAACAATATTCCGATATAAAAAATCACATTTCAATAGAATGAAGAAAATTTCTAACCTTATTTATCCTTATATCTTTCAAAAAACGAGGAGTGCAATTTTATTTATTATTATTTAGACATAATCGTTCCGTTACTTCTACATTGAAAGATGCTCGAACATTATTTGCCGTCTAATATGTTTATTTTATTGCCGTTTATTTAAAAAAGAGGTTCATTTTTTTTTTTTTTTTTAAAAAAAAAGTGACAGTATATTTCCAAATTAGTTCAGAAAATTTGTGATTAATATTTAATACAGCATTTGGAAGTTTTTTTTTTTAAAAAAATTTAAATAAGTCTCGTCCTTGTGCATAAAAGTTTTTTTTAATTGTCTAATATGATGTTTGTGATATTTTCAAGTGATTTTGATTATTTATATCATCGATTAATTCAATGAATAAATACCATATTTGTTTTGTGAATTTATTTTAAAGTAAAGTTATCACAATGAATTAAAAAAAAAATCTTTATTTTTCTTGAACAAATATTTTTATTTGATAATAAAAACTGCAATTATAACTGCTTACAAAATTTTCGTTTAAACAAGGTGAAAGGAAGACATGTGTTACAATTTCATTAAAAAAAAAGGATGATAACAAAGAAAACATTCATTACTCCTTAATTACATGTGTTCGATAACAATGAAAGGCTTGCCGCGTAAATGTAAACGATCATAAGACTTGTTAAAAAAATGTTTCCGAAAAACTAATAAATGAAACTGTCGCCCACAGCATTGAATAATTTACTTATTCGAAGATAGATATCATTGATCTTTCATACTGAAAGCCTTTTATCTAAATAAAGAGAGATACAAAGCAATGTATTATTACCATAATTATCTTTTATAAAATTCTTCGATTATTAGTGTAATTTTATATTTAATTAATGATATATTATGATGCAATAAATTCTGCTTGTGATCTAATTTTATGACATCAATTAATTCAATATATAAATACCGTATTGGTTTGCGAATTTTTCTCAAAGTAAAGTTACCACAATGGTACAATGATTAATACAATGAATTATAAAATAAAATTTCTTTCTTTCATTTCCTTCTATTTATAATTGAACGAACCTTTTTATTTGATAACAAAATCTGCAATAATAACTGCTTATAAATTTCGTTTAAACAAGGTGAATGGAAGGCGTTTAATACAATTTCCATAAAAAAGGATGATATCAGAGAAAATAATCATTACTCCTTAATTACATGTGTTCGATAACTTGCTACGTCAATTGTAAAATAAGACTTTGTAAAAAAAAAGTTTTCCGAAAAACTAATAAGTGAAAATGTGGCCCACAGCATTGTTTGATTTACCTATCCTTGATCCTTCATACAAAAAGCCTTTTATCTAAAAAGAGAGAAAATACAAAGCTATTCTATAAAATTTTTCGATATTGATGTAATCTTTAGATTTAAATAATAAAAATATATAATGTAACTTCTACTATATCAATTCATTGTAGCACAATACATGCGGTAATAAAAAAATATGGGTATTTCAATCTTTTTAAAGAAGCAAATTTTTTCTTTGTAGAAATCTCAAAAATTTTTATCGAATCCGAACATAGTAATATGAAACCGGTCCTCATCCGAAATCGTTTTATGAATCACGTTAGAACCTGATGAATTATAAATGTACCAAATCGGGATTATAATATTACAACTTTTCCTGCATCACAAAAATGCAAAATTAAAATAAAATTATTGGCTTACAGTTTATATATACATTGTGCTGTCCATTAAATTAAGTTCAGTTTGAATGAAGAATAGTCTTATGCATAATAAAATTGATGTGATATTATTCATCAAATAACGTGAAAATTATTTCCTGCATGCATTCTTAGATTGGCAGTTTTTATTTATTGTAAACAAACACCTCATTAGTTATATTAGGTAATAATCACATGTAATTTGAAAGATATTCATGGATTTTTTTATAAATATGCATTAAAAAAGCTGAGCGACGGTTTCATACTAAATATTTCTAAATGTCTTTAAGAATATTGAGAATGTCTAGTAATTCGATATTAAATCACTTTTTATCACGCATTATTTCTCGTAGAATCTATCCACCGTACAATAGTAATGCTCAAATACTTGCTGCGCAGTTTAGATATGGTAGTATTATTTCTAGTATAACGGGAAAAACTTTGTTGAAACGAAACGTCAAGCGTGAGGCAATTCGCTTACGTATGTATACTCAAAATATT